TTTGTCAAGAACTGACCTTGTAGGGTCAGAAGAAAAAATGTTTTTGTTTTTTTTTTTTAAGATTTATTTATTTATTTGACAGAGAGAGACATAGCAAGAGAGGGAACACAAGCAGCGGGAGTGGGAGAGGGAGAAGCAGGCTCCCCGCTGAGCAGGGAGCCCGATGCGGGGCTCGATCCCAGGACCCTGGGATATGACCTGAGCCAAAGGCAGACGCTTAACGACTGAGCCACCCAGGCGCCCCCTTCTTCTTTTTATTTAAAGATTTTATTTATTTGACAGAGACACAGCGAGAGAGGGAACACAAGCAGGGAGAGTGGGAGAGGGAGAAGCAGGCTTCCCGCAGAGCAGGGAGCCGGATGCGGGGCTTGATCCCAGGACCCTGGGATATGACCTGAGCCGAAGGCAGACACTTAACGACTGAGCCACCCAGGCGCCCCAGAAAAAATGTTTAAAGTCCCTGGATCAACAGTATCAAAAATCTGAACCCACTAATAATAACACCATCCATGTACACGGTAAGCCTAATCTTGCTGTTGAGAGAAAAATATATATAGATTACAGGTTTCAGAATCAATGGAGTGGGTTTTGGGCAGTACTGCTTTTAAAAATAGAACAGAAGGGGCAACGTTAAATGCTTTGCGGGTGAGAGCACAAGAATTGTTCTGTATAACTTTCATATATATATATATATAAAACTTTTGTTTCCATTTTATAAGATGGGTATCCATGGAGAATGTTGAAGCGGGCCTGGGTTGCGGTGTCAGATGTATTTCTCACTGTGAGTTGCATGGAAAAGCATGGAGACAGGTGGCTGGCTTTGGAAGTCTTGCACCCATGTCAAGCCCCCGGTATCACCAGATAGAGTACCAGCTCAGAGCCCCGCACATGCACCTTCCCGCCGTGGCCAATGGCGAGAGGGCGTGCAGGATTTGGCATACAGGAGACCCCCAGGGCTGCTTTCTTTTTCAATAAACTTTTTATTTTGGACCAATTTTCAATTTACAGAGAATTTACCTAGAGCTCTTGCACACCCCTCACCGGGGTCCCCCTACCATCACAGGACGTGCGGCCCAGGGAACCCTCGCTAGTGCGTTGCTAGTCACTGAACTCCAGACTTTCTTCGGATCTCACCAGGTTTCCTTCCTTCTCTTCCAGGACCGAGTCCAGGATCTTGGATGCATTCAGTCATCGCGTCTCCTGGGTCTCCTCCGGTCTGTGACGGTTTCTTGGTCTTTCCTTCTTTTTCGTGACCTTGACAGAGGAGTCCTAGTTAGGTATTTTGTAGAATGTTCCTGAATGTGGATTTGTCTCGTGTGTTTCTCATGATTCGACGGGGGTTATGGGTTTAGGGGAAAAAAAACGTCACGCAGGTGAAGTGCACGTCTTGTCACACCCTATCAGAGGGCACAAGATATCAACATGGCTCATCACTGGTGATGTCAAACTTGATCACTTGGTCAAGATAGGGTCTGCTGGGTTCCTCCCCTGTGAAGTTACCATTTTTCCCTGTCTGTACTCTGTTCTTTCGAGGCAAATCACTAAGACACTAAGACCTACTCTCAAGAGAGTGGGGGGTGGGGCGTGTCACACTCTACCTCCTGGAGTGCGGAGTATCTACACATCTCATTTGGAAATCTTCTGTAGGGAAGATTTGCCTCTTCTCCACTTACTTAATTTATTATTTTAAAGATTTTATTTATTTATTTGAAAGAGAGAGAGCACAGAAGGAGAGGGAGAGGGAGAAGCAGACTCCTCGCTGAGCAGGGAGCCTGACTTGGGGCTCAATCCCAGGACCCCGGAATCATGACCTGAGCTGAAGGCAGATGCTTACCCAACTGAGCCACCCTGGTGCCCCCTTAATAATTTATTTAAGTATGGGCTGATGTATATTTGTTTCTTATTTTGCATCATAATCCTAATCAGTGTCATTTCTCTTAATGCTCAAAGTGTTCCAGCTTTGGCCATTGGGAGCTCTTTCAGTGGCTCCTGTGTCCCCATCCTTGTGTTTTTTTCTAGCACTTTCCTTAGCCAAGGCAGCTGCGGGGGTGCGGGGTTCGCAGGCCATGCAGAGGAGGGGGTTCACGGGAAGCTCGGTTCCTCAGCTCTCTGCACCTGCAGCTCTCTGGTGAGCCCCCCAGCGTTGACTGATCTGCCCTGGTCAGAGTGCAAAACGTTCCTCGGCTGATTGTCCGTTCCTGGCGATCCAGTTCTGGAAGGCTCTCCTACCCACACAGAATGGCAGGAATTCCAAGTGCCTGAGTTTGTGCCAGTCAAGGTCTGACTTCCCAGAATTCTGGGGGTATCTCTGCCCCACCCGCTTCCAACTCTGGATCTAGCCAAACATCCCCTTTGACCTTCCCGAGGCTGATGTTTCAGAGTTGGCTTTCGCCGCACCTGCTCTCGCTGGAGCACGTCCAGTAGGTGCCCTTGCTTCCTGGAGGAGAATGTAACCCCACCCTCTCTGTCAGGTTTCTCCTCCCCGAGGCTCACGCCTCTGCCTGGGGCTGGACCCTGTGCTCTCCCCACCTCCATCTTTGGTCTGGTGCCCCCCACTGGCCCCTGTTGCTCGGCCTACAAGGATCCTCGAGTCTCCTGTCCCTGCGCCAGCCTCCGGCCAGCACAGCATCTCTCTCCCCTCCCCTCAGGCCTCTTGAAAGAGGACACTCGGCCCATCCTTTTCCTTGACAACTGGGCCACACAGAGCAAGTCGCTGGGAGATCTTTCACACAAAAGGGGTGACGACTGGTTTTGATGCAGTGGGAGGCACGGAGAGGGACGTTGAGTGGCCCCACTCTCAGGCAGATCCCATTGTGACGAAGGCTGCCGCAGGCTCTGGCTTGTCTGGGAAGGCTCCCGAGATGCAGCACCCCATCTGGGCCTGGAGTTGGGGTTGAAGGAGAGGAGGGAAGCCACTCCCCACAGGTCCTCCAAAGTTGGTGCAAACGAGGGGCATCTGTTTCCAAATCTTGTCTGGTCCATGCTTTTCCTTTTTACCCTCACCCTGTAGGGAGGGCCTTTGTCCAGGGGGACAGCCACTTTAACCATGGAACGTCAAGCCTTCCGTGGGCTCACACCTCCAGCACCGCCCTGCTTCCCACATTCAGTGATTCACGAGTTCCTTCTGTTTCCCCTCACTGCATCCTCCCAAGGTAAGTGGGTGTGCCCTTCCCATCAGTGGAACAAAAAGATATTCTTGTTCACAATTTGGGAGATGGCTCAGCCTGCTGCATCATAAATCTGTGTTCTGATACCCCCACTCCAGCTGAGCTGGCCTCTGTCATTATTCCCCAACGCTGACTTCTGCCTTCGACACTGCTGAGGACAGCCCTCACCCCCACCCCTAGTCTTTGGAACCCAGCTGGTGATAGTTATGTCTCCTCCAGGACCAAATACCAGTCCTGGCTCTGAACAGACTCACTTGTGCTTACAGACCCTGGCGAATTTTGTGTGTGTGTGGCCTGGCCTATGCTAATTCATTCATTCAACAGGTATTTATGGAGGACTTTCAGGCACAGCTTTAGGCACTGGAGATACAATGATGAACAGAAAGACATGGCTTCACAGAGTTTCCAAATGTGCCTGGGAGACAGATATTAAACTAGTAATTTCACAAATTTATACTGCAAATAATAAGTGCAATATGGGAGTATGGGAGTTCACAGTTTGTCTAGGGCATTAATAAAGGTTCCACAAGGAAGTGACAGTTTAACTGAGATATGAAGAATGAGTAGGAATTGACTAGGGGTGACACAGACAGGAGAGGAGAAAATCTTCCCAGAGGGAGAGAGTAGCATGTGCAAAGGTCCTGGGGCTGAAAGGGGCATGGTCAGTTAGCTAAGGGCAGGAAGAGGAGAAGGAGAAAGAAAAAGCTGGAGAGGGCAGTGGAGGCGCCATGGGGTAGGGGCTTGAGACATGTTTAGTATCTTGGTCTTTATCCTAAGGACAGTGAGAAGGAAGCCACTGAAGGATTTTAAGAAGAGTGACATGATCAGATTTGTAACTGAGAAAATTACTGACCACAGTGTGAAGTACAGGGGATGGGTGCCCCCTGAGAAGACCTTGGTGGTTAGCCGGTAAACTTGTGGTCCCAGAAGAGATGAGGGTAGGTTTGAGATGGTGGCCCTACTTCATATGCTTGTTCCTTTACTTTTTTTTTTTTTTTTTAAGCTGTCCTGAAATGGCAGGTTTATGTGGGCAGTGTGTTCTCAGCAGAAGATGATCTGGTGGGAGGCCCTCAGGGGCAGAAGGTTAGCTTAGTCTTAGTGCCAGCCTTTGGTAGGGAATCAGAACATGATGTGTGGACAGGGGACTCAGGGACTGCTCTTCTTTAAGTTCCTCTTTTTGCCATCTCAATTTCCCTTGCTCTAAGAATAAAAGCAAGCTTAATTAAGCCTCCTTAAAAGCTCTTACGCTAATTGGGAGCCCAGCCCCATCTTTACCCCGGGAAGAGCCCAGAACACCTGCTGCAGGTGCAGGATCCTTCCCGGAATTTCATGGCGGCGGCTGCCCTGAGCCACCAAGCCCGGCAATGGACAAGAAATGACGGTGGGCTTCAAGGAGGGGCACGACCGTGCCCATCTCAGAGTCCGGAGACCTGAGCTCCGGGCTGCAAACGTGACCTCGGGCAGCTCCCTTCCCCCGCGGGGGCCTCAGTTCCCTCCTCCGCAATCGAAGGGTGGCCCCAAAGTCCCTCCAGCTGCGAGCGCGACTCTCGGCCCAGCAGGCGGGATGCTCGCCCGGAGGCACTGCGCCGAGGCCCCCGGCGGCCTGGGGGGGCGGTGCGCACCCACGCCGCCCGCCGCGGGAAGGGGGCCCCGAGGTTACGTAAGGAGCCGGCGCGGGGAGCGGGGCGGGGCCGGAGCGCGGCCGGCCCCGCCCCCGCCGGCCCCGCCCCCGCCGGCCCCGCCCCCGCCGGCCCCGCCCCCGCCGGCCCCGCCCCCGCCGGCCCCGCCCCCGCCGGCCCCGCCCCCGCCGGCCCCGCCCCCGCCCGCCCGCGCCTGGCGGCGGCGGCGGCAGCACCACCAGCAGCGGCCGCCGCGCAGCCCCGCGGAATGGAGCGGCGCCGGGGCTGAGCCGGGCGCGCACGGGCCGCCGCATGTGCCGCGCGGGGAGCGGCTGCGGAGCGCGCGGGGAGCGAGCGCCACAGGGCCCGTCGGAGCGGCCGCCGGAGCAGCGCCGGAGATGGGGTGAGTGAGCCGGCGCCCGCCGGCGGGGCCGCGACGCGTCCCGGGCTCGGAGCCCCCGGGGGGCCGGCGCCCTCGGCCCCTCGCTGCCTCTCCCCGCACCGGCGGCCGGGGGCCGGGGGCCGGAGGCGAGCGCGCGGCCGGCGGCTGCAGCCCGGGGGCCGCCGAGCCCGCGCCCTCCGCCCCGGCGCGCGCCCTCCCCCGCTCCCCGGCAGGGCCAGCCCGGCCTGGGGCCCCGCGCCGTGGCCCTCCGCCTCCGAGCCGGGCCGGGCGCGCGGCAGCCGCGGGGACGGCGGTCCCGGGCGCGATCAGCTCCCGGGCCTGTGTCCGTGAGTGTGAGAAGCGGTTTGTCGTCCTCCACGACTGGGTTTATCACCAGCAGAATGGAAACAGAAGTTTTCCCGTAAAGGAACAGACGAAATAATCGTGACCCCCCCCTTCCCCCCCCCCCCCCCCCCGGCCCGAGGTAGCAATAGTGGACTTTGACTGCTTTGAGACGGAGGAGGGTGATGAAGCCTGGAAGGAGCCGGGCTGAGGCTCCAGTCTTGGATACAACGGAGTAAGATGCTCGGGGGAAAAGTTGAACTACTCTGTCCAAGTGACTAATGCTTGCGAGTGTAGAAAGTAATTTAAAAAGCAGGATTGATTTCTCCTTGGCGTCTCTGTGAGCAGTAGGCGCCGTGAGTCAGTGAGCCGCTGTGCTAACACGATTAACTCCTTACATCTGCTCACCCGGGAGCACATGGTGAGGTGCGTCCTCCTTATTCCGGGAACAGTTATTATGCCCATTTTACGGATGAGGAAACTGGTGCCTTAAGTGGTTCGGTGACTGTCCCCAGGTTGGGCAGCTGATGAGTGTTTGTAGAAGGACATTTCGTGCATCCGCGGAGGGGAAGCCACAGCCTGACAGCGACCACGGGGGTGTGGGGGTGTGGGTCAGCGAACCAGAGTTCCTGAATCTCTGTGTCCCCTGCTGTTGTGCTTAGCGCCCTTCAAACAGCCCTTCTTATGACCCTAAGACTTCTGCTGGCTGGGTTTAGAGATGGCGCTTTTCTGTATGGGGTTGGGGAGGAGTGGAAAGGGGCGACACTGTCCTGGTGGCCTGATCAGCTCCCACTGGTCAGCGGCTCTATGGCACCTCACTCCAGGTAAGTTTCTGGAGTCCTCTTACCCAGTGAACGTTATCTGTGGGGTCTGCAAGGTGTTGGGAGGAACCAGAGGCAGGAGGAGAGGAATTTCAGTGAAGGGAAGTGGGAGGGCTCCAGAACTCCATGAACAGGACAGAGGGGAGAGAAAGGGGCCAAGAGAATTGCTCAAGACATCGGTGCCAATCCAGATTCCACACATGGAGAAGCTGGGGGTGATTATGCCAGAGGGGCACTGGTGGGGAAGCAGGTTTTCTGTAACATTTCCAGTGATCTCTTGGTAGACTATGAAAGGGCTGCTCTTTGTGCAGCGGGAATCTTTGAGGTTCTCAGATTTCATACTTTAAAAAAAAAAAGATGTACAGTGGGGAAAAGGAGTTGGCAAATGTAGGTCTCAAGATGGAAGATAAAAGGGATCTGGTAATTTTAACTCTCTCTGTCCCTCCCCCCCTCAGGCAGCACGCACAAAACCGACTCAACACACTTGCGTGATCAGAAACAAATATTGAAACTCTGGTTGAGATCAAATAGTTCTGTGGAAATGAAAATGTTTACTCATGAAAGCTTAAAGAAAATGTCAGGAGGTAATTTTTGTTTGTGGAGCAACAGGGAGGAGTATCTTGGGGATCGTGTTGAAGTGGAACATGGCTTTCCTGGACTTTGCACATCATTCAGTACATGTCTTAACTCACTTCTTGCAGGTGAGGGCTGGTTTGTAACTCCTGCCTACTTCTGTCAGTTTCGATCTATCCACTTCTTCTGTAATGTATGTGAGCCTGCAAACCATGGCTGTAAATTGAGATGGAGCTAAGGCTGGATAAGCAGTTCAGACAGAGGAGGGTGGAGGGAGCCATTTTCACCGAAAATAGAACCAATGTCATCCTTTCCGAGAGTTGAGTAGGATGGGGTGGGGGTGGGGGGGACAAAAGGGCAGTCAGTAGAGAACCTCCCTGTGGTCCTATGGCCCTGCTACGGCTCGACTGTGCAGATGTGACCAAGAATTATGGGGGGAAAAAAATCTGAGTTTACTTCTTCCTCACTTAAGATGCTTTTCCTCTTTCAGACATTTACTGTTTCTGCTTCTCTTCTGTGAAGTGTTTTGCATTTAAGTGTGTGGTTTCCCCAGTAAGTTTGTGTTTTCTCTGTCCGAGGCCTCTGTTTCCTACCTTCTCTCCTCAGCCCTGTCTCCTTTCCCCGCGCACACATCTTCACTGACAAGTGAAGCCAGGAGCTGCAGACCAAGGAAAGCCTCATGTCCCTGCCGCCTGCAGTCCTGCGGGCGGCTGCCCTGGTGGCTTCCTTGCCACCTGTCTCAGCGGCTGGCCAGGCCCTTCTCTGGTCCCCCACCCAGGACTGTCCATCCCGTCCCCTCTCGCCTCGTCAGGCCACCTCCCTCCAGGGTCTATCTTATCCGTATACACGCAGGCTTTGGTTCAGTGCTGTCCAGTAGACCTTTTCACACTGATGGCAGTGTGCTGTGTCTGCGTGGCCCAGGACAGCTGCCCCCAGCTGCATGTGTCTAGTGTGACCGAGGACCTGAATTTTTAATTTAATTGAAATTGAAATAGCCACATGTGGGCAGTGGCTGCCATATTGGAGAGCGTAGCTTTCGCTTCTGTCATCTTCTCTCTCTTGCTTCTTTGCTCCCCTTCACCTGAAAACATCTCAGAAGATATGTCCCAAACCCAGTCTCTCCATTGGCTTTCTTCTCCTACCAGTCCTTACCCTCCACGCTCTGCAGACCCACCCCAACTGCGGGGTCCCTGGTAACCAGAGTGCTGCCAGATCTCTGTCCTTGTGTTAGCCCCTTGGCCGTGTTCCTCACCAGTGGCCACACCCTCCTCCCTGGAACAACTCCCTCCCCCCCCATGCTCCCACCGCCCTCCAGCTTCTGGCCACCACACACAGAAAACCGAAACCCCTGGTTTTCTGCTCCCCTTCCTGATGGTTCCTCTTCAGTCTCCCCACTCTTGCTCCTCTGACCTCTGGATGATGGGGCTACGTAGGGACTGGACCAGCTTCCTTTGTGCCCTCAACACTCTCTTCCTATAATGTTATCCACCCCCCGACCCCATCCCTGCTGGTGACTCCCATGTTTTTATTTCCAACACAGCCCTTCTGGGGGCATCCAACTCTAGTCCCTGAATGGAGCTCTTGATACCCCTTCCAGCTCTCTCCTTCCTTCATCTTAGCCATCCCAGTCCGTGGCCCCACCGTCCACCCACTTGCCAAGAGTGGTCCTTGCTTCTCTCCCTCGCCCTCCACATCCACGCTATCAGTGGGTCTCATGGTTCCACCTCCAGAATATTATCTGGTGTCCACCTGTCCTCACGATCATAGCTCCCACTCTGGTCCTGGCCACCGCCGCCTCCTTCCTGGACCAACGTCCTAACAGGTCCCCCAGCTTCCACCCTGGGTATCCAGTCCGTTCTCCACACAGGAGCCCAGGTGACTGGCTTTTAAAATCGCAGATCAGATCACATCACCCTCTTCCTTGAACACCCTTCAGCCACAGGGGGCTGGCCTGTGCCTCATCCCCAGCTTCCCTGTCACTCTGGCCATCCCTCACTGCCTTCTGCTAACGCGAGCCTCATTTCTGTTCTTGCTCTGCCTGGGGATCTTTGAACTTGCTCTTCCCTCTGCTTGGGGTGCTCTTGCAGATACTCTGCAGATACCTTCATCCTTCTCATGCTTCCAATTCCGACATCAGGGTCACCTGCAGAATCTTTCCTGAGCACCGCCATGGCTTGCTAACATAGCCACGCCTTTCTGTCTGCACGTGCTCACCACGGCGCACCGGTCATCTGGGCTTTGTTTACCTATTTATAATCTGTCTTCGCCAGTAGCATCCCCCCAAGGTTAGAGCCTTAGCTTTTTCACCAGCGTCTCTCAACACCTGTCAGAGTGACCGGCACCTAGTAGGCCCCCAGGATTTTTTGATTGAGTCAATGCTTGACTGTGGTGGGTGGCCTTGCTTGGATGCTGACCTAGAAGTTGTGATAATTTTTGGATTACCTTTTATATGGCTTGCTTAATTGAGGGATGCAAGGGCCAAGAGAGAAAGAAGTCACATTTGGATGCAATTTTCTTTTAATGCTAAAGCGAGCCATTTAGCTTTTATTATGACTTGGGTTAATTTTCGGGCTGTCAGCTGTCATCCGAGCATTGGGGTTATAAATTATCTTTTTACCCGCCCGCCAAAGGTAACAGAGAAGCCGGCTTGCCTGCTGTTGTGACTTTTAGCCGATTTTGCCAGTGTTTACAAACAAGATCTGCTGTGGTTCTGTTTGGCTTCAGTTTACACTCATTTATTTTGTCCAGCCAAAGATTACGTTGCAGTGTGAGGCGGGCACGATCGTGGTTATCTGACACCTTGGGCCTTCTTTCGGTAATCTATACTGGATAGCTTTCTGGTGCTGTTCATTCCTTCCCCTCGAAGTTTCCATTCCTCCTGCAAGGTATGGGCTTTGCTCTGGGGTTCGTGTTGACTAAAACAGATGTTGTCTCTCACATACATTGAGGGAACGTGTCTTTCTTGGTCCTGTGCTGGGTTTTTGAAACTTCACTTCCTAAGGTTTGTTCTGTCTGTTCATCTGTAAGGCATTTGGAGGGTCACTTGGGGGTGCGGGATGAGCACACCTACTAGGTCATTCCTGCCCTTATGGAGTTTGTATTTTCAAAGCGGAGATAAGCCACATAGAGAAGTACCAGCTTTGTGTGTGAGTTCAAACAAAATGTTGTCATCCAAAGGGGGTCAGAGACAGTGCCAGCCTATTTGGGGCACGTAGGACAGATGCCCCAGTATGCTATAGGGAGCGCCAGGAGGGTGTTAGCATTAAGGATCACCCTCATTATGTA